CGAAAACTAAATTAAAAAATATAATAATAATTATTATAAGCTGCAATATTCCTTCCTGACAGATTGTTGATTGAAAATGACCCACGCTTTCAGTGACACAATGTTGATCTTATAGGAGGCTGGCAACTGAAAGTTCGAGCCCAGACTCTGTGTAAAGATAAGACTGTCCGGCCCCATTCCATAGTCGATGGGCGTTCATTTGTACGTTGTATCTCTTAAGTAACTTGGACTATGATGTAAAGGGTAGATAATTCCTTCCGAAACATTCTCCAATAATATTCATAACCAACATCTTGATCTTCAGCTCTCTGGTGTATGTAATCTCTTTCTCTCTCTCTCTCTCTCTCTCTCTCTCTCTCTCTCTCTCTCTCTCTTTCTTTCTTTCTTTCTCTCTTTATCTTTCGTTCAATCTTTAACCCTCGCTTAAACCCCCGCCCCCCTTCCTTTCCATCTCTCCCCCCAACTGTCTCTCTCTGTCAAAAATGCGCGCGCACACACACACATACACACACACACACACACACACACACACACACACCCAAAACGCACGCGCACACACACACACACACACACAAACACACACACACACACACACACAAACATGAACACGCAACACACACCCTCTCTCTCTCTGTATATAAATATCGCTCACTCTGGTTCCCTCTTCCTCAGCCTTCTTCCAGTCTTTCACTTTCTCTCTGCCTCAGTAATCTTGACGTTGCTAACGCCGGTTACGTGTCTGTGTTTGGACCCTTTATCTCCTTCATAGCTGTTGCCTGGTCACTTGGGAACCTTTCCAGACCACAGGTAGGTAGAGTGGGAGAAAGACGTAACTGAGGAATAAAGATAAGGTATGTTGTCTGGAAAGGTAGAGTTGAAGACAGTACTCGCCGAACACTGCCTTTTTATATCGCCTCTTCTCCTACTTTCATTTACATCATCTTAACCTCGCATGCTGTTTGATAATTTTGATGTAATGTCTCAATTCCAATTAACTATTAAACTTTTATGATCGTTATGTTTCTTTTTTAATATTCAGTTTTAAAAAGTAACTTTTTGTTTTATTTGAAGAATCAATGATGGTTACGGGACAGAAGACCTCCATTACCTCCACTGAAATAAACAACAATAAACAAGTTATGAGTGCTGTGCTATATGACTATACTTGGCATATTTTTCTGTTCAGTGATTTCAACATCAACTCAGCATTGAGCTAGTAAGCATAAGGAATCAGGAGATTCTAACCCTTTCTACACTTCGTGTTAGGTGAGATTTGACAACTTGAACAACATAGATTATTATGTAGTTTAAAGTTCTAAAGTAAACAGATTTAATACAGACAAATTTGTTTTCATTATAGACATGTTTGCAAAATTTATGTACACGTACATCATTTTCAAAGACGCCACGCCACGGTTGTTTGTGAGAAATACGGTAAAAGTAAATTTGATCCCTCCATTCGAAATTTACATGGTCTATTTTCCACATCCTAGGGTCTTCACTACCAGTGGGTCCACATGTGAGTTACCGATCCTACGAGCACAAAAGACACTTTCAGAATGG